GTATGAAGACATGAAGACAGTATGAAGACATGAGGACGTATGAAGACATGAGGACAGTATGAAGACATGAGGACAGTATGAAGACATGAGGACTTATGAAGACATGAAGACAGTATGAAGACATGAGGACAGTATGAAGACATGAAGAGGACTCAGGGTAAAACTGTCTCTCTGCAGCCTCTCTGACAGATGGCACATTATTTCTGACCTTTTGCAGCAGAATATTTGGACTTTTACTGGCCTGGAAGAAACATTATATAATTCAGATGCTGCTGTCAGCATATGTTCACTTTACACTTTGTTTATTACATTCATACTTTTTACACTTTGTTTATTACATTCACACTTTTTACACTTTGTTTATTACATTCACACTTTTTACACTTTGTTTATTACATTCACACTTTTTACACTTTGTTTATTACATTCATATTTTTTACACTTTGTTTTATCACATTTACATCTTTACAGTTTAAAAATAAATCCTTCTTCCAACATGCAGACAACAGAGATCCTTTAAGGTTTTTATTTTTCCTCGTTGTGCTTCTTCCAGCCAGTGAAGCTGTGTGTTTGTGTGTCTTTATGATTTTATGATGTTGCTTCATGGTGGGATTACAAAGCCAAAGCAGCAGCAGCAGCGTGTCCCCCTGCCCCTCCCCCTCCCCCTGGCTGTCAGGAAGACAGAGCGAACTGCCGGTCTGAACGGCAATGCTCCTCGCTGCTAATTATTTATCACGGTGGGAAAAAAAGGTCAGAAGAAAAGAAGAATCTGGGCCTAACGAGCCGAAGAACCACAGCTAAAGAGTCTCCCCTGATAAACGAAGGTCATGGGTTGGACTTCACATAATAAAAGCTCCTCAGTGCTGATTTAAATAAACTGAAAAATGAACTATTTGTTTAAGAAAAACAGACACAAACAGGTCCATTAACTCAGCCTGGGACCGACCCAAAGGTTTATTTCAGATTTACATGTTCCTGGTGTTAACTGAGATCTGGATAAAAATATCTGATTGTATTTATATATTTATTGTACAGTGAATTAAAGAATATACTTTCTCCTTTATGGTTTCAAGCATGATTCATTTAACAACCAAAACTTTAAAGATAAAAGTTTAACAAACCAAGATCTAATGACTTTAAAACTGTTACCAACGAAAAATACATTGTACATAAATGTACTATAGTTCTAAGTACACTTTAGAGTACAACAAGTACAACTCAGGTTGTGTAACGAACAAAACTCCAGGTGAACTCCCCACATAACTACAATCGATGGATGGATGGATGGATGGATGGATGGATGGATGGATGGATGGATGGATGGATG